GTGTGTGTGCGTGCGTGCGTGCATACTTCTCTGGCTTGAGGTCTCTGTAAATGATGCCCAGGCTGTGAAGGTGATCGAGGGCCAACGCGAGCTCCGCCAAGTAAAACTTCACATCCTCCTCTGTGAACATTACCTACAACACACACACACGCAGTTTTCACAGCTCATTAATATTTCCATTAAAAGAAAATCCACATCTAATTTTTCAGAGAAAGCTTTAAAGCTGAAATATGTAATAACATCTGCTGTGGTTTGAGACAAACTCTGCTACTGAGAGTCGTTTGAGGAACCTTTATTACTTCTACACTACATTCATTTACTTGTTAGTCACGATGGTGGGACAATAACGTCACTGTGCTCTGGCATCCTTGAATGCAAAGCAAAGAAATCCTGCAGCATGCTGCTAAACCTCTTTGATAATAAGCAAGATAAAAATAAATGTATTTTACATGTGATAATTGTGTTATCGTTTGGTATGCACCAAAAAAATAAAAGTATTTATACTCAAAACATTGATTTAAGATTTAGTCATTTCAGTCTAGTTTTTAGTTTGTCATAGTTTTTGTCATAAATAACTTACTTACAAATGTTTTCATGACTCAAATGCATCCAGTCAAATGTGATTTTGAGATAATTAAAAACTCCCTCAGCTAACAATCTTTCTTTGCTTTCTCCAGTTAGTTTGTTGTTCTGTGTCTGTGCTGTGTTACTTCACTGCATCTGCATCTTTTCCTCTGTATGTCTGTGCATTCACTGAGACCAGGAGAGACCACATCGGTCCAGTTCCTCAGATGTTTACAGTGATCAGGTCTGCTTACTGTCCCCCAGAGTGCAGTTTTTATACTCCACATATCTGGAGCAACTTTAAATCTTCCCTGTTTGTAGATGTTTACTGAAGAAGAGCTGTGCCACATCAGAACATCTTCTCATTAGAGAATAAATTCCTGATTAATATCGTATTTATTATTAATTAGATTTAGTTTCCAGTTTTATATTCTCCAGTTTGCCTCTCAGACATTGAGATCTTTCAGACTGTCTTGGGAACTGTGTTATTCAAGCACAACTGGAGTGAAACCACTGATGAAGAGGTGTTACCTCCTTAGAGAGACGAGTGAATAGATCTCCTCCTCTGAGGAAGTCCAGGATCAGGTAGAGCTTCCCCTCCGTCTGAAACGCTGAGGGAGGAAGCAGAGAAGGAGTTGAGATGTGATCTGAAACGTTGAGCTCTGCCGCTCGGCTAAAAGAGAAGCAGCAAGTTCTGATTGGCTGGTGCGGCGCTGGTGACTCATCACGGAGGTCTGTTATTGGCTGACTCACCGTAGTGCAGTTTGACGATGAAGGGATGGTTGACCTCCACCAGGATGTCTCTCTCCATCTTTGTCCTGACCCGGTCACGCACTGGAAACACACAGAGAGAGAGAGAGAGAAAGTAGAAGGAAGAGTGGAAAACACATAAATCACCAGATAAGACACAAAGCCAAAATAAAACAGCCTCCCTTATTTGGTTTCTATTTTGGGTGGAGAGACTCCCAGACGGCAACGGATGAGTAATTGAATCCCGGAGAGAGAGAGGAGGAAAATCAGCAACAAGAAGTTTAAAAACAAGAAAGAAAAAGCGGAAAGTAATAAACGATGATTAAGCCAGAGAAGAGAGAGAGAGAGGCACAAAATAAAGAAGCATGCTGTATTTTTTTCCACCAGCAGATGGTGTTTGACTTGATTTGAACATGTATTTCTCCTCCTCTCCCCTTACACCTCTTTAGCTCTGTGGATCTGTTTGGTCTCACGTTAGGGTGTGAAATTCCATTTTGGGCGACGACAAAAATCCACTTTACGTCCTGTAAAGTACAAATGACTTCATCCACAAAGACCTTCAACTCAACTTTAACACAATTTAACAACAAAACCATCAGTCTTGTAGTCTGTGATCAGCATTTAAAAGGT